TTGGGTTTGTTAGTGTCAATTTTGTTCGTGAGTTAAGTTTTATTGTGGGGAATGTCAACATCAAATTCTCACAAAAACCCAGCCCTAAATTAAAATCGTTACTAAACAAAAATTATTTAGAATCACACAATACCAACGTCATTTACAAAATAACATGCAATAACTGCCCAGAATTCTACATCGGAGAAACATGAAGAAAATTGGAAACCAGATTGACAGAACACAATAGAAAACCGTCCCACGTTTTTCACCATTGCAACTTAAAAAACCATAGTATATCTATTAAAAACACAGTCATTTTAAACAAATAACCCAACATAAACAAACGAAAAATCAAGGAATCCTTCTTAATTGAACAAAACAAACCTACTCTAAACCAACACCCCGGGGTGCCTAGATACCTCTTCTAAGTTTCACAACAGTTCCCGTCATGTGACTTCTTTGTTCAATACTGTATATATATATATCCGTGTCAGCGTAAATTACTTGTACCTGATGATGACAAAACCTTGTCGAAACATTGTACATTTACTGTTATGTTAAACTTATATTAAAGTTTTTCTTCATTATCCAATCAAGCCGTTTCCAATCATTATTAAACTGAAGATAAGGACGAGAACCAAGATCATATAGGTATATATAGATAAGCACTGGCAACATCCATTTTGATTATCCATAAACCTGGAGAAAATGCCCACCTCAAAGTGAGAAAAGACTACATGGTAAACTGGGACAGGTGAACAAAGTGGTTGAGGCAAGATAAATCTATCATTGAAAAAAATGATGAGAAGATCCTGAAGATAAGTCAATGGTAAATGAATCCAAGCCAAAATTGCATCATGACCTAGAAGGTCCCAACAACAGAGAAACCATGTATGAAAAAAAAAAAAGACTCAGAGATAACAAAAAAGCTAGTGTGGTGGAAAGAAGAGAAATAATATCCCCAGAAAACCCCTCAGGATTTATGTGGAGAGCCTCAGAGAGGTGGTGTAGAGAAGAAAGATACCGTAAAACAGTTGTAAGGGTAAGACACAGGCAAGAATACTGGGAATGGATCAGACTGACAGGTGGTTTGGGAGCCACCCCCCCAAACAGACAATATGCAGAAAAACAACTGTTGGTCTAAAAACGGACAGTCAGCAAGAGAGCACAAACTGATCTAAAGCTTGCAGTGGGTGAGAAATGCTAATCCCATCACTTAATTGTGAGACAAATTGATCAGCATGAACCCAAATATCAGGGGAGGGAGGAAAACCCCAAAAGGGATGGGAAGATTGGTCATGTAGTAAGGAAGGACGTGTCTCATAAGAAATAGGAGAAAGGATAAAAATCACATACCCGAGAAATAAAATCCAAAAAGCCAGAGTTAGGCCTAACTGATTCTTCGATGGGGGATGGAAAAGTATGGTAAAATCAGGAGGTGGAAATAGACAATCCAAGTCCTCATCATTCTTAAAAGGCTCTGCCTGTTCAGGAGAAACTGGGGCGAGGTCTGGGACAAAGGTTTGTTTGTTTTTGAATTTCGCACAAAGCTACATGTGGGTTATCTGCACTAGCTGTGCCTAACTTAGCAGAGTAAGACTAGATGGAAAGTAGCTAGCCATCACCACCCACCGCCAACTTTTGGGCTACTCTTTTACCAATGAATAGTGGGATTGACCATCATATTATAACGCCCCCACGGCTGAAAGAGCGAGTATGTTTGGTGAGATGGAGATTCGAACCTGAGACTCTCAGAATGCGAGTCGAGTGCCCTAACCACCTGGCCATGCCAGGCTGGGACAAAGGCTAGCCTATGTAACATTCAATAAATTTAGATAAATCTACCATTTGGTCACTCGCACCTAAGGCCTGAGAAAGAATGTTAGACTCTGGTGTGACCCCAAAACAGTAACATGAACTTCGGAATTCATTGTGAAGAAAAGTCCACCAAATTTGACTGGTGAAAAAGAATAATGCAACTGAAACTAACTGATAAAAATTAAATTCAGAAACTGTCTGGATAAAAACTAACTAGATTAAAGAAAACCACTTCGTGACGACACTTAAGCCAAACGTGAATCTTTACATAAACAAAAAGCATGTCCGAACACAAGTGCTGCCAAATGAGATGCGATAGTTTGGTAGCAAGTCGCATGCATCATGCGAGCATGTCATTCTCCTATTGGTGGAGAAGTGACACATAATGACTTACGAGAGAAACGTTGGAATCATAAAATTTCAATAGGAGAAAGCATAAGGCTTGTGGCATGTGTAAAGAAAAATATCTTATATAGAGGGCAGCACGGAATGAGAATAGCTAATTTTGTGAGAGGGGGGTAGGTAACATATTGGAAAATGTTTTTCTGAAAAAAAAAGGAATAGCACTAATCATCATGCACTCATGAAATGTGTTGTCTTAACTTTCTACACATTTTCAAAGTAGCCTTTGATTTTCTTTTACAGGTATTAGAACTATCAAAACCAATCAAGTCACTGGCTTCTATATATCTGATGTAGTTAATATCTGAACCGACAAAGTTTCCAAAAATAAAATACATACATTTAACATAAAAGAGTGTTCTAATTTTCCAGGTAAGTACTATAGAAAAGACTTTGTTTGGGCAATGTACATATCCTTCAAACATACAAGCCCAGTATTTGTAAACCCTATTTTTTCACAGCTTGCTAAGACACATTTCATTGTCATTACTGTACTGTTCATAAAGACAAAATAGATGTTATGAAATCCTCAAATTGCACTTTTCTACCTCAGAAAAATACAAAACTATTATTTAGAAAAGGCATTAATAAACCATTCTCATTACAATTTCAATATTTCATTTATATTTGATGCAACTTTTCTGGTCAAATGCACACTATGGAAGAAAACTGAGAGCTCCGAAAGAGATTACAAGCCTCCACTTTGAGAGATTATGTGAACATTAAAGTTTAAATTTTTGTTGTGAAACTGCAAACAACTTTCATATTTTTAGCAAGTTAACGATAACAAAAATTCAAAGACAAGTAAGAGCCCAATAAAAATCTTTCTTTGGATTTAAAATAAAAAGTTTGAAATTATTACAATAAAACATTAATCTCATTTTTATTTTAATATTTGTCAATTTATCTTTAATCTTTGCTCATCAGTGGTTACTCCTAATGAAAACAAAAACATGAAAATCAGCAGGAAACATCTTCTGACTGAATGAATGATGAGCGAGTTAATTTTTACTATATTTTTACACTGTAGATGATTCAATATGAATGAGTAAACTAATTTTCCAAAATTTACTTTAAGTGATAAAAAGCTAAATTCTTATTTCATTGCTATTTCTTACAAATGCAGCAGTGCATTTTGTGCAAGTCTAGTTGCTTGATAGTTAACAAAGACCATCAGGATACCCATTAAATATTGAATTGGGTAACTGTAACTGAATTTTTGTCTCATGGATATTTAAACCCAAAACAATTAGCAGAGATAGGTCTTTGCTTAATTTTGATCTCTTCTTCCATTACCAGTGGATTTTACCAGCAATTACACAAAATATCATTTCAGATTCATTCTGGTCTTATCTTTTAATAATTGGAAGTTCCCCCTGAAATGATAAGAAGCCCAATCAATTAAATACTCAATGAGGAAAAACTGATTAATTTTGTTCAACTTAAACCTCTCATGAGTGTATTTCGGGTTCAGTAAATTAACAGAATAATTAGAGAAAAATAAACTCTACAAACCTAGAGTAGTTAGTCATTTAAACAACTGCAGTTGTTGGTTTTTTAAAAACCTACAGTAGATTGACATCTAAACACCTATAATAACTGCATCCTCTAAAAGCATAAATCATTTGGGTCTCTTAACACCTACAGTAGTTGAGCCTCTATACACCTAAAGTAGTTGGCTCTTTAAATACCTACAGTAGTTGAGCCTCTATACAACTAAATTAGATGGTTCTTTAAACACCTACAGTAGTTGAGCCTCTATACACCTAAATTAGTTGGTTCTTTAAACACCTACAGCAGTTGAGTCTCTATACACCTTCAGTAGTTGGTTTTTTAAACACATACAGCAGCTGAGCCTCTATACAAGTACAGTAATTGGGTCTTTGAACACCTACAGCAGTTGAATCTCTATACAACTACAGTAGTTGGTTCTTTAAACACCTATAGTAGTTGGTTCTTTAAACACCTACAGTAGTTGAATCTCTGTACACCTACAGTAGTTGAGCCTCTATACAACTACAGTAGTTGGTTCTTTAAACACCTACAGTCGTTGAGTCTCTGTATACCTACAGTAGTTAGTTCCTTAAACACCTACAATTATTGAGCCTCCATACAACTACAGTAGTTGATTCTTTAAACACCTACAGCAGTTGAGCCTCTATACAACTACAGTAGTTGGTTCTTTAAACACCTACAGTAGTTGAATCTCTGTACACCTACAGTAGTATGTTTTTTAAACAACTACAGTAGTTGAATCTCTGTACACCTACAGTAGTATGTTTTTTAAACAACTACAGTAGTTGAATCTCTGTACACGTACAGTAGTTCGTATCCTATGTTTTTAATTAATTCTTAAAATAAAATAAAAGTTTCTGAAGTATGTTACCTGTATCGGCACATTTGCAGTAGAATCTTACTTCATAATCAGCACATGTACTGAAGTCTCCACGGCCAGAATTCTTACAAATAAGTCCTTCTCTGCTACACTGAACATTCTGATCTTTGCTAAATTCAAAACTAACTTTAGTAGAAGCTACCCGACACTCAACTTTCTCTACTTCATTTTCTGGACAGAACACATACTTCTTTCTCAATTCTCCTATGCTTTCATCATCTCCAATTTCATCTGGCTTGTTAGAATTCATCCAAAAGGTCCAGCCTGGAGCCGTACATTTTGAAGGAAGCTCGATTAAAGTTGTAGCTTCAGTAGTGATGAATGGGGTTATTGTTGAAAGTATAGTCGGTTCTTTTTCTAATAAAACACAATTCATACCTTAATAAAATGATAAAACAGGAACAATAGTTTAAACATTCAAAAATATTAATTTACAGTTTCAATATTCAAGATAATCATTTTAAAGTTCAACTAAGTATAGAAACATCCACATAACATAAAACCACATAAAGGTTTATATTCATTTATAAAATTATTGTGATTTACTTAATTTTTCTTTCTTGTTTTGTCGGGGGTGTTTAGAATATGTTGATTCATATTTTCAGTGTTGTTCCTTTGAAACATGTCATACAATTAGCAGATTTTACTAATAAATTAGTAACTTATTTATCTTAAAAAGTGATACAAAAAATGTATTGCTCAGAAAGTTTACAAGTCTCTTGGATAAAATATGTTCATTTGCCATGGGTTTAATACAGATTTACAGCATAATTTATCAGAAACAATAACAACAGTAATTTAGAAAAGAATAATTAGTCAAAATACTAAATCTTAAAAGTCATACATCTACAAACTTTAAGAAATGGAATATAATTTAATATATACATACTACATTGACAGTACACTCTGATCTCATAGTCTTGACACATTCCAGAAGTCTGTTCTCTGTCATTGCACACTAGTCCTTTTGGCAAATTACAAGTGGCATACTGCCTTGCTGCTTTGATTGATTTAAGAGATCCAACAACACGACATTCTATTTTAGTTATATTATCTGTTCCACAGAACTCAGTATATATCTGGGACAACCGATAATCCTCAAGCAGTTCATAATCACCACCAACTTGATACGGAGAATTCATCCAAGGTGTCCAGCCTGTTTTTTTACATGGATATTTATCTTGTGGTAATGGTGTAGTAGTTGATGTAGCACATGGCTCACCCTCACAAACAAGTTCACCTTTTTGGCAAAAGCTACAGATAAAGAAATTTGTAAATATCCCACTGATGATGCATCCAAAATTCTGCAAGCAGTTTATCTTTATAATCATTAAATGTTTACACAGTTTATCATATTTTCTGTCACTACTATTGCCATAACAGATGACTATATGTAATGATTATCTTGTATAAAAAAACATTGGATATTATAGTACATCAAAATAAGGCTAATGTAAGTAAATAACTCAGTTAGGTTTAATATTCTGACAACAAAATGTTCCATGCTGACGTTACATCTAAAAAAACTTAGTTAATATCAAAGATTAATGTCACTATTAAAATAAAGACAGTTAATGTGTAGGTTTAGCTGCCTATTAGTTACTACAATATATTTCACAGAAACTCTACCCAGTGCTTCAATTTAGCTACTAAAACACTTAACACAAAACTCTCTTTAGTATCTCAAATTATCTCACTATTAACTACTACAAAATACTTCACAAAAACTCTACATAGTCTCTCATTTAGCTACTATCCACTAAAACATAATATCTCAGTTTAGCTGACTATTAGTTTATAAAGCAGACTTCACATGACTCTACACAGTTTCTCTGTTTAGCAATTATTTACTAAAAACGACTTTGCAGAAACTTTACAGCATGTTTCGGTTTTGTTGAGAACTAGCTAATGAAACAAACTTCACAATTTTTCTATATTATTCTTTCATATGAGCTGCACAACTTAAGAATCTAATCATGTAATTCATTTTTCAATACTCATATCACATGCACTAATACAAATACTCTAAAACACTAATAAAAATAAATATTGTCATATGTAAGCTTCAAAAACGATATAAATAAATGTTTTAATATTGGTCTCATGTTAAGTTTAACACATATATAAATAAATATCCGAACTTCTGCATTGTCAATTTTGAATAAAAGACAACAAACTATGCATTGGATTCTCCTGCATAACATATTTTTAATTAAAGACCAAATCTACATGGGATTTCCCTAATTCACTACTTTGAATAAAGAACAACTGTCTAGTAGATTTTCACACATTATCTACTTTGAATGAAAGACCAACTATATACTCGATTCTCTCATATTATGTCCAATGAATGAAAGATTAATTGTATACTGGATTCCCCTATACTATGTACATTGAAAGAAAGATTAATTGTATACTGGATTCTCCCATATTATGTACACTGAAAGAAAGACTAATTGTATACTGGATTCCCCTATACTATGTACATTGAAAGAAAGATTAATTGTATACTGGATTCTTCCATATTATATACTGATAGAAAGACGAATTTATACTGGATTCTCCCATATTACATACACTGAAAGACTAATTGTATACTGGATTCCCCTATACTATGTACATTGAAAGAAAGATTAATTGTATACTGGATTCTCCCATATTACATACACTGAAAGAAAGACTATTTGTATACTGGATTCTCCCATATTATGTACATTGAAATAAAGATTAATTGTATACTGGATTCCCCTATACTATGTACATTGAAAGAAAGATTAATTGTATACTGGATTCTCCCATATTATATACTGATAGAAAGACGAATTTTATACTGGATTCTCCCTATACTATGTACATTGAAATAAAGATTAATTGTATACTGGATTCTCCCATATTATACACTGATAGAAAGACCAATTGTATACTGGATTCTCCCATATTACATACACTGAAAGAAAGACTAATTGTATACTGGATTCTCCCATATTACATACACTGAAAGAAAGACTATTTGTATACTGGATTCTCCCATATTATGTACACTGAAAGAAAGACTATTTGTATACTGGATTCTCCCATATTATGTACACTGAAAGGAAGACTAATTGTATACTGGATTCTCCCATATTACGTACACTGATAGAAAGACTAATTGTATACTGGATTCTCCCATATTATACACTGAAAGAAAGACTAATTGTATACTGGATTCTCCTATATTACGTACATTGAATGCAAGACCAACTGTATACTGGATTCTCCCATATTACATACATTGAAAGAAAGACTAATTGTATATTGGATTCTCCCATATTAGAATCCAGTATACAATTAGTCTTTCTTTCAGTGTATGTAATATGGGCGAATCCAGTATACAATTAGTCTTTCTTTCAGTGTACGTAATATAGGAGAATCCAGTATACAATTAGTCTCTCTTTCAGTGTACATAATATGGGAGAATTCAGTATACAATTAGTCTTTCAGTGTATGTAATATGGGAGAATCCAGTATACAATTAGTCTTTCTATCAGTATATAATATGGGAGAATCCAATATACAATTAGTCTTTCTTTCAGTGTATGTAATATGGGAGAATCCAATATACAATTAGTCTTTCTTTCAGTGTACATAATATGGGAGAATTCAGTATACAATTAGTCTTTCAGTGTATGTAATATGGGAGAATCCAGTATACAATTAGTCTTTCTTTCAGTGTATGTCCCATATTACATACACTGAAAGAAAGACTAATTGTATACTGGATTCTCCCATATTACGTACACTGAAAGAGAGACTAATTGTATACTGGATTCTCCTATATTACGTACATTGAATGCAAGACCAACTGTATACTGGATTCTTCCACATTATGTACATTGAATGCAAGACCAACTGTGTACTGGATTCTTCCACATTATGTACATTGAATGAAAGACCAACTGTATACTGGATTCTTCCACATTATGTACATTGAATGAAAGACCAACTGTGTACTGGATTCTTCCACATTATGTACATTGAATGAAAGACCAACTGTGTACTGGATTCTTCCACATTATGTACATTGAATGAAAGACCAATTGTGTACTGGATTCTTCCACATTATGTACATTGAATGAAAGACCAACTGTGT